AGCGTAGATCAGCGGTGCGGATGCTTTCAAATCTGTTCCTGAAATCCACCGAGTGTCGTCGCGATCGCATGCTTTGAATGTGACTTTGTACTGCCTCGGCTTGCTGCCGTACTTGCGATCGGTGATGACGCGGTCAACTTCCTGATGGCCATCCATAGAAGGAGGGTCCTGCGATCGTCGCCCCGGAAAGTCGTCGCTCTTGGCTGGTGTGTATGTTGCCAGCTTCGAGGCGTGGAAGACCGGATGGACCGTCAAATGCTCTGGAATGTTGATCACAAATGAAGGGCCATTGGGCTCATCGCCCGCGGCTGCTGTCACAGACCAAGGTCCAAACCACTTGGGAAGTAGTTTGCGTGAAACGTCCTGTTCCAGTGCAAACTCTTCCGTGGAGACCCAAACCAGATCACCGGCGCGGATGGGACATGGTACGCGACGCCTGTTGGCTTGCTGCTGCATGCGGACTTGAGCCTTTTGCATGTTTGCGCGGGCTTGAGTCAGCAATTCCCTGTACTTCCGGACGGAAGCGGTAGAGCAGGCAGTGTCAATGTCAGCTGGTCGAGGGAGGAGAAGGTCGGCGAAGATACGGCCTTTCCGTCCACCGTGCTGCAACTCGAATGGAGTCACGCCGATCGCCGGGTGCACCGAAGTGTTGTAGGCGAACTCGATGTCGGGGAGGCGGTCAACCCAATCTTTCTGGTCCGGGCGGATGAGCGTACGAAGCATCATTTGAGCGGTTTCATGTGCCCGCTCCGTCTGCCCGTCTGTCTGAGGATGCCGAGCCGAACTTGGTTTCATTGTTGTGCCGGACTCCTGCATGAGAGCAGTCCAAAACGCCGACATGAAACGAGTGTCGCGGTCGCTGACAATGTCTTCTGGTACACCGTGGCCACAAATCCAACCAGTGTGCAGGAGGCGTGCCAGCTCGGGAGTCGTGGAGTAGTACTTGCAAGGGAGAAAACGCGTGTACTTACTCAATCGGTCCACAACCGTGAGGATGCCGTCGTGCCCGAGCCGGTCGCGAGGAAACGGACCGATGACGTCCATGGCAATGGAGAGACCGGGTTCCTGTGGGATAGGCATCGGGTGTAACTCGCCATAGGGATTGCGGTTGCGGGGTTTGCTGCGTCGGCAAACTTCGCACGAGTCGCAATACCGAGTGGCATCGGTAATGAGGTCGGGCCATCGGAATCGCTGTCGAAGCTGTGCAATAGTGCGGTTGACTCCGAAAAGGCCGGCGAGTCTCAATTACTTCTTATTTACAATTTGAATAAATTGAATTTCACTCAAATAAGTATGGCTAAAAGTAAAGATACACGAATCACGATTATTTTAGAGTGCAATATTTGTAGTAATTGAATCATGATACTCGCCGAGGAGGCGAGTCCGAAGACGACGGTCGCGTGGGACACACAATAAGTCCTTGCCTCTCGAGTGGAGGAGCAAGTATCCATCGGCGATGCGATAGTGGCTGGCCGGCGGGTGATCCGAAGATAGCTGTGCATACAGCATGGGAAAGTCCGGATCAGACTCATATGCCCGGATGAAGTGTCGCTGAAGCTCCTCGTCGAATGCGAAGGCATGATGTGTCATAGCGCAAAGATCGGGTCTTCGCGAGAGTGCATCTGCTGCGCGATTTGAGAGGCCGGGTAGATGTTTCGGTGTGAAGTCAAATTGGTCGATGAAGTACATCC